CAAAAACTGACCTGAAAGGCTCTGGTTCAGCAGTCAGCCACACAAACTGCTCAGGGCTCACACGGCTGCTGAGATGTACTCTTCCATCTCAGCTAGAGCCCACAGAGAGCAAGCCCGAAGGAAAAGCATTCTGCCTATTTCTGCCAACCCTCTCCTTCCTTTACCACTGTTGCTCACACAAAAGCAGGTGTGTAAAGATCTGTTCTTAAATAACAAACTATGCCTGGAAAATATAACGAAGTTATTTGATCTCTAAATTGTACTTGGTATGGTGAGCTAAATAATCACTGCTTTCACAGCTTTTACACAATGGAAGACATTTTTTTCTGGTGTCATACCCTTTTGTATCTGTCTTTGGCACCCTCGAAGTGCCGCTTACGGTAGAGGTAGTTGCCAAACTCTCTCTCTGTGTCCGCCACTTTCAACACCTTTTGTAGCGGAAATGTATCCTGCTGTTCCTGTATAAAGAAATACCTGAATTTCAGCTCAAACAAAACAAAACAAGCAGACAGCTCAGACAGGAGAGTCCTGCACAGTCAGTCCCCTTCTATTCACCGAGCACGAGCCAGGCTGTTTTCAAGGCCCCTGCAGCGTCCAGCCAGGACACCACCACACAGCATTTCGCTTTGCCAGGCTGAAACATACCACTGTTCTTGTGCTGGTAACTCCTGGTGAAGAGTGCTACCAACCAGGTTAGGAAGCTCACCAGGACCAAAAGGACTCCAGGGGAGGGAAAAAAAAGCAGGAATTTGTTCTTAAATCCTGCCCAACTCTCTCATCTGCTTAGCACAGAGCAGACAGTTAACACAAATGCTATTCCTGGCACAAAAGGTGAAGCTGATCAAAAGGCTTCATTGCTCTAATGGCTCAGCACCACCCAGCATGGCTGCCTCAGGCCAGCTCTGGGACCAGCCTGACACCCACACAAGACACCAACCAGCAAAACAAAAAAACCCAACAATAATAAAAAAAGATTTAAAAAAAAAAAATCGAGGGACAGGTTTTCTCCTGGGTTTGCTAGTTTGAACCAGCTCACAGAGAGAGGTCAGTTAGTCAGAAAGGGTGGGCAACTAGCAAGGGGAGTAAGCTCTTGCAACAAGTGTGGTTCACTCACAGGGCTACGTGTGGGGAAAAAATGGCCTGTGCAGCAGCAGGAGGGAATGAGGAGGGCCCCCCTAGCAGTGCTGCTGCCTGTGCCCCACTCACTGACCCACAACCACAGTCCAAAGCCCTTTACATGAAAAGGGGGAATTAACAATAACACTGTAACTCACCAGGGAGGAAAGCCAACAGTGAAGGAGCACTTGGGAGAGCAGCCAAGAAGCAGAGACAAAGGGTGGGGGTTGGGGGGGCACTTGGACACTGCAGCCTGAACAGCATTTTTACAGACAGCTCATTACTGTTCCTTCAGAAAAATTCCTGGAAGCTGGTGCCCTCTAGTGAAACCATGAGGTTTGTTATAAAGCTAAAAATAAATGGAAGTCATTCCACTGACTCCAGCACACAGGAGCAAACAAAGGCAGCTCCCAGCTTCTCCCTCTGCACAGGACTGCAAACAGAGCAAGGCATGCAGGGGCAGCATTAAAGGGCATGTGTTTGTATCAGAGCAGAGCTAGCAGCCCAGGGTCTGGATAACTGCACCTGCATTAAGCTAAACATATGTAATGCATGAGCCACAGCAACTGGAAGGAAAGACAACAGAGGTTTAGCCTCCAGATTTAGGTCTCAAACCTTATTAAGGCAACTCACAGCAGTCAACTGAAAGAATGTGTCAGATTCATCCGAGTCTAGGAAGTCCAGCACCTCCACTTCGAACATGACCGTGGCATTCGGGGGAATGAGAGGAGGACAGCCCTGACGCCCATAGGCATAATCCGGTGTGAAGACAAATCTTGCCACCTCTCCCTTCTTCATTGTCAGCAGGCCAATTTCCAGGCCCCACAGCGTAATGTCTGTCACAAGATTTGGAAGGTCATAAGAATCACACACATGGAAACCCCCTTAGACAAACAACAATCTGTCTTAAAGCCTGGAGGAAAAAGTCCTTGGTGGCTCATATCTCAGCAGCTACAATGGTCAGCTGCCCCCTGTTCCGGATTATCAAGGCAGTCTGCTGTGGGACCAAGCACACAGTGAACAGCAACATCTCCTCTCCGGTGATCTAAAAACACCAAGACAAGCACCCCCACTGCCACTAACAGTCAAGAGGGGCAGAGAGTGATCAGTTCCAGACTGACCATCCCCTGTGTGAAGCAGAAGGATTTTGGACTCCATTAACAAGTTTTAAAGGTTTCAAATAACATAAAGATACTAAACAGCATTTAAATTGACATGTCCTAATGGGCTGGTCTTTACAACCCCAAGTCCCAGGACAAACATTTTGGCTCAAACTTACCTTTTCCAAGTTTCATCAGCCCAGGAAACCTGCTGTAGTAGTTTGTGCAGAAGGGCTCATCCCAGTGTTCCAGGTATCCAGAGTACTTCACTGTGGGGCCCAAAGCAAGGAGTCAGAAGAAAAAAGCAAGAGTTTGATATCATATCCAGTAACAGTACCATCAGGAGCACACTGGGAGTTGGTTTTGCAATGCCACCCTTTTATCCTGCTTTTCTTTTATTCCTTCTGCTGTAGAACAGCAGAGGCAGCACAAACCACCCTGTCTTTTGTACCAAAAACCTGATCACATCCCAGTAGCCAAGTGGTGTTGACTGTGTTTTAACATCATCACCAGAAAATGCAGCTGCTTCACAGTCCTGATCCCTATCTAATTAAGGGATGTGATTTTGTGTTTTTAAGAATTGGAAACTTCAGCTGTAGCAATTAAAATGCCCCAATTGTCTGCAGAAATATGTAACAAAGGCTTTCCTAACCAAAGCTGGAGCCCTGGAAAGAGAAACAAAGAGGAAAATGAATCCTTCCAAGCTCTGCCACTCTCCTGGGCACTGTATGCATAACTCCAGTTCTCAGTTAGAAAATGCAGTATAATGGGCTTCCCTTGACACAGCACCATGCCCTTGCACTTCAGGAACCACTTTCAGCTTCAAACTTCTCTGTACTGTGAGCACAGGTGGGACCTGGAAAGCCTGCTTTTTTCAAGGTCAAGATGCCCTTTCATTTAATCTGTCAGCCACAAGAAGTTAAACAGAGTATTCCAAGTGCTAAAATACTGATAAGGAGAGGAGACAGTCTCTGAAACAGAAAGACATACTACTGTATAAGCACTTTTAAGTTCTTGTTCTGATCTCATGCTAAAGTCCAAAGCACTCAGATCTGCCACCCACAAGCACCTCAACATTAGAGGCTCAGGGGATCTTTTACAACAGGTTCTGCCTTCTCCAATTCCTCCAGCACATGCTTCAGGCCCAGCCACAGAGATCAAAGCAAGGACCTTGCACCGAGATGTGAATGACATAGAGGAGCATGAGACCCTGACTTCAGTCTACGCTTCCAGGGATTTTTGGTTTTCTTAGTTCTGCTAATAACAGATTAAATTTTAACAATTGCCATTTACAAAGAAAGCTGCTCCAGAGACGGTCAGCGGATGCTGCAGGTTTGTACCCACGAAGAAGGGCACAATGTTACCACAGAGCGCGCCAAAACCTCTGGGGAGCCAGGCTGCCGGCTCACGCAGCACTCATTGCAGGACGCCCGGCTGGTGGCGTGGAGCAGAGGACACGCAGCCCAGGAGAAGGCGTGAGAACCAGGCCGGGCCCCGTGACAGGGGGGTGCGCAGCCGCTGCCGCACGGCCTCCGGCGGCCCACGGGAGGAGCGCGGGCACCTCGGCCTGCTCAGCACCGCAGGCCCTGGAGCCCCGGCAGTACCTGCCACGGAGGCGGCCGGGGGCACGGCCTGCCCAGTGCCGGGGCGCAGCTCCTCCTTGAGCACGCCTCCATCGCCGCTGAGGTCCCGCAGGCCCCGGGTCCGCGCCAGGCACCGGAAGGAGGACGCAGCCGGGGCCTGCCCCGCCGGGCACGGCCTCCCCTGGGGCCCGAGCCTCGCCTCGCCCGCAGCCCCGCCGCGGCCCACCATCATCCGCAGCGCCTACGCCCCTCGCCCTCTTCACCAATCACCGCCCACCACACCCTGCGCCTTCAGCCAATCACGCTCCGAGGAACGACCTCATCCCGACACGCTGCTTAAGAACCACGCGTCGGCGCCTCTCGGGGAGGGATACGTCTCTGCACAGCTATCGGCCAATGGGCGAGGGAGGCGTCACGCGGCGCCGCGGTGCACCCTGGGGGATGTAGTCCGCCCTCGCCCGTCGGGGCCCTGGGCCTGCGCAGCCGGCTCGTTCCGTGCCCACGGGCACGGGTGCCGCTGCAGCTGCCTTGCGCCGGCTCCCCGCTGTTCCCACCGGGACTGCGGGGAAAGCAGCCTCTTCCGAGCATTGTTTCCCTCAGGGAGACCCGGACGGTCCCGCTGGGCCGTGTCTGCTCGCAGCCCGGGCCCGCTCCCCTGACCTGAGCCTGTGGACTGGGGTACCTCGGCTTGGGTGCTGCCGTGGCTGCAGGAGAGGCCCCTTCGAGGGAGGGAGGGAGGGACATCCCCACGGCCTGTCCTCACCTGCCAGCCCCCCTCTGGGAACGGGTGCTGCACCCTCCTGGTTTACTGCGGCCCAAAGACCCAATGCCTTCAGCGTGAGGCTGAGGTGGGACCCCCGGGCTAATCCTTTAACCTCTGTTTCCGCTTCCCCCACCCCATGGCCTCTGGAGGGTTGCCCAGAGCTGGACCCTCTGGCTGAGAAGCCTCCCTCATCCCCAGCTTCCCCTGGGCGATGCCAAGAGGGAAGCCACCAGGGTGGCCATAAGCCAAACGCATCCGTGAACCAAGGATAATTATACGAGAAACCATTTTTTGCATAGTCAGGCAAAGACACACATGCCTCACCCCACACTGAAGGAGTGACGCTTTCGGTTCCTTCTGGTCTTTTCCAAAAGAATGAAAGGTTTTCAAACAACAAAAAAATACTGTTTCAACCAAAAAAGAGCTTTAGTTGGTAAGGAAGTCTTTTGGTGAAAATGTTTCCAATGTCCCAAGCAGCGTGGATGAGTGAAACCCCAGCAGGACTCGGGGAGACTGGCTGCTCAGGGAAGCAAACAGCACCGGCTCTTATCAAGGCTCCTGCCCACACAGTCATATGATGTGTGTGCCCGTACCTGTGCGGTGGGGCGGTGGGCAGCCCTTCACGGGGGTGTGACGCTTTCCTCAGAGCAGGAGAGGGGGACAAGAGGCTGCCTGGCCTCTCCCTGGCGAGCAGAGACATCCCCGGCAGGGCTGAGGCTGCAGGAGGGGAGCGGGTCAGCTCCCCGTCTCGCCAAGGGGCTGCCGGTCCCACCACCTGCCTCGTCTGCCCCTCTGACCAGGTCAAAATCTTCAGTTCAATCGGGAGAAGCCGAGTGACGTCCGTTGGGCTCAGTACACTGGGACGAGTGGAGGAGCCTGAGCTGGGGCCGGGAGGAAGCTGTGCAGGGTGCGTGAGTGCTGTGGTAAGCAGGAGGCTGTTATTCGGGTCCCCGGGAGGTATTTCTGTGTGAGCAGAGGGAGCAGCTGAAGCTGGTTCCCCCGTATGGGGTCCTGCGGTGTCTGATGGGTCACAGGCTGACAGTCGAGCTTTCCTTGATTCACTAAGCTCCTATAGCAACGTATGATAAAAGTTGAGCTCAAGATCACAGCTTCCCCTTTCCCCGGGGAAATTACAAAGTCTTTGACCTCAGGTTTATTTTCTTCAACTTCAGGTCATGTCTTTGACTTGCCCAGGATCTTGGTGGTTATATCCCCCAGTGCTGGGAACAGCATGGGAGGCAATGCTGCATGAACCTTATAGCTGTTAAATAGGCTGGCCACCTACAGCCCTAGGACTGGCGGGAGAGGCTGGGATTTGGGCTCGTGTCTCTTGGGCGTGCTGGCCCAGAGTGTGGAGTGCTGCAGGGACCAGAGACTGCACTGTGTTTCAAGGGGGTGAGCTGCAGTCGCAGCCCTGCACGCTGTGCCTCAGCTTCCCCACCATCTTATCGGTCAAATACGGCCTCACAGGTGTTTACCGTGTGGTGGTTGTCCCTGTCTCCTAGATAAACGTGCTTTTTATGATTTCTTTCTGCTTTTGCTTACATGCATCACTTGAGCTAATGCCAATCTTTATGAGGATGTCCATGACTAAGACAATAAGCCCAGAGAGATCTGTAGGAATTCATACAGGCCAGGGTCAATAATGGAATTTTCAGCAGAAAATCCCTCTTGGCTCTGACTCCAGCCCTGGCACACAGGCAGGTCTCCTCTGAGGTGGGCTGCAGTCTGACACCCCTGCCAGGCAAAGGCCACAGATGGGAACAGCTTGGTGGTCACTTCTGACACCTTAGGCAGATCCAGCAGGCATGGCCAGGTGTGGTCTCACGTCTCCAGAGCCCAAACCCACTGCGGGTTAAAATAAGCATCTCAGATTTTACGTGGAGCCTAATGATGAGTTTGCAACTGTCTGCACTGCTGCCGGGGAGTGGAGGTGTTTCTCTGTTTCACCCCCTCTCCATCTTCACTCATCTCTATCTTGCTCTTGGAACAGGACTGATCTCCCACCTGTGTCCCAGGCCAGGTCTGTGCTGCTGTGTGGGAAGCTGGCAGGATGGCTCGGAGGATGAGCATCGACGAGCTGGAGGACCAGCTCCTCTGTCCCATCTGCTTGGAGGTCTTCAAGGACCCCCTCATGCTGCAGTGTGGGCATTCGTACTGCAAGTCCTGCGTGGTGTCACTCTCCGGAGAGCTGGACGGGCAGTTCCTGTGCCCCGTGTGCCGCCAAACCGTGGACTGCAGCGCCTCACCACCCAACGTCACACTAGCTCGCGTCATCGAGGCACTGCAGAGCCGGGGTGAGGCAGAGCCCACCCCGGAGTCCTGCCCAATGCACCACAATCCCCTCAGCCTCTTCTGTGAGGCCGACCAAGAGGTGATCTGCGGGCTGTGCGGCACCATCGGCAACCACCGCCAGCACAAGATAACCCCCATCTCTACCACATACTGCCGGATGAAGGTTGGCAGGCAAAGCCAGGCGAGAGTCCTGGGGTGGGGGTTAGGCTACCTGCAGTGCTTGCTGGCCATATGTCCCCTTTCCTTCAAGGGACAGGCTGAAAATGATGCCAGGGTGGGAAGCACGGTCCCATGGCACAGCCAGATGTGGGGCAAGGTCCCTGGAGCTGGGGGGCAGCTGTTTCTCAGGCTGACTGTGTCCCTGGCTGAGAGGACTCACAGTTTTGCTGGCTGCAGCGCAATGGGGAGAGCTGGGGGTCAGGGAGTGTCGGCGTGGCCTTTCAAGACTGTTTCCAAATACCATCAAAAAGAGTCTGGAGATAAGGCTGAGGTGTGGTGCCGCAAGAGAGCAGGGAGGCAGGGAAACAGGAGCCCCAGCCAGGGAGAGTAAACAGCTGGCATCCCTGCCCAGCATCACATGAAAGCCCCAGGAATGGAAAAGCACAGGGCCACCCGGCCCCTCTGCTCCTGGCACCGGGGAGATAAAAGCAGGAGGCACCAGAAGTGCTCCTGCCCCAGCAAGGCTCCCGGGACTGGTGCTAGGAGGGTGCCACTGGCCTGGTGCTGGCTTGCGGCTGGTTGCCACCTGCTTGCCTGGTGCAGAGCCACCACGGGGTGTGAGATATCGAGGTCAGGAATGGGAGCAGAGTCCTGATGCTCCTGGCAAGAGTACTTGGTCAGCAGCATCCAGATCAGGGCCATGCTCTGAGTGCTCTCCTGCCTCTGGCAACCCCAAATCCTCTAGATCAAGAGAGTCAAGATCAGCAGGACGTGCAGGGCCCCAGAAAGCTTAGAGGAAGCTTAGGAGAACATGGCTTCTGAGGGCCATTTGTTCCTCAGGGGGCTGACAAGCACTGCCTACGATCAAGGAGGCTGCCAGAGAGGTCCCTCCCACAGAGGTGCTGTCTTTTCAGGAGGAGCTGTCTGTACTGCTGACCGATGTCCACCAGTACAAGAGGAACCTGGATGAACACTTCAACAAGCTCATCAATAACAAAAGTCGCATCGCGGTGAGTGCCATGTGCCAAGGGAGCCTCTGTCCCTGAGTCCTTTGTGTCCCAAGCAGCCCCTGGAGCAACCTCTGCTCCTGGGTCTCCACAGCTCACCTCCTCTACTCCTCTCCTTCTCTTCTCCCTTCCCTGGGATAGCAGACAGGGCTTATCTTCCACCCTATTCCTTGAAGTTTGTGTTCTCTCAGATTAAACATAGACCTGGTTTTGGGAAGGGTGACGTAGCCCTCTCTGGTGGCACAGCCCTGTTTTCGGAAGGGGTGACATAACCCTCACCAAGCGTCCTGGCAGGATCAGCAGTCAGAGCTGGTTTGACCGAATGTCCTTGGAGGTGGGGAGATAATAGGTGAAAAGGACCCCCCCTTGGAGCAGGCTTCCTAGTCAGAGCAATGCCATTGGTTTCACATTGGGTTTATGCCTGGTTTAGCTGTGTGTCATTTTCCCACACAGTAGATGTCTCCAAGAGACCTCCTGGCATTCCTTCTGAGGCTAAAGCTTCCCAGTGGGACTCCTCAGAAAGGCTCAACCCAAATGAAAGTGGAGCTGTACTCTTCTCCCCCTTAGCCCAGGACACAGGTTGTTCCCTGGGAGCAGAGGGAGCCAAAAGCCTTGAAGGCTCTGGTGAAGCTGCTTGTGACATCAGGAAACCAAAATCTGGGGGAGAAGAGGCATAAGGCAGGGGTGCCATGGTGGTGAGCAGCTGAGGACAGCAGGATGAAACAACATCTAGCCTGCTGTGAAGAGCTGGTCTTTATTTGGAAAGCCAGTGGACGGCAGCTTGGTGGGACATGTTGACATTGCTGTTGGCATCTCTGAAACAAAAAAGCAGGTGAAGGGGATGGAGCAAGGCAGCCCTGCAGAGCTGCTTGCTGTCTCCCTGCAGAACGAGGCAGATGTCTTCAAGTGGGTGATCCGGAAGGAGTTCCAGGAGCTGCACAGGTACATCGATGAGGAGAAGGCCACCTTCCTGGAGAGCATTGAGGGGAAGGCAGCCCAGCTCATCACTTCAATTGAGTCCCAGGTCAAGCAGACGTCAGACGCCCTGCAGAGGCTTAAGGAGATGCAAAGCTCTCTGGAGGCACTCAGCAACGAAAGCCAGCTTGATTTCATCCGGGTGAGCGTGCTCACTAGTGAAAGGCAGTGACAGTCAGGCAGGCTCTCCAGCCTTCAGCCCACTGCTCATAGCCCTGAGCCCTGCCATGGGCAGTGGGTACCTCACCAAGCATAGCTGGGACACCACAAGAAGTGAGATGTAGGTGCCCTCTGCCCAGCCAGGGCTTTGCCCAACGGGAGAGACCTGCCTTCCATGAGAGGCAATGCCCTTAGCTCTCCCAGGAGAGGAGAGCCCTGGCCTCCCCAGCCCAGGGCATAGATGTGTACAGCTGTGACCATGCAGAGGTGCTGCCGTTCCGTCAGTCTCCCACCACTGACTTTCTCTTTCTCTTGTGTTTTCCAGAAATATGGCTCCTCCCAGTTCAGGTGAGTGGTGGGACCCAGCAGCAAACAGCATCAATGGGGATGGCAGTGCCTCTGCACCAGGGCTAGAGGTCCCAGGCCAGTGGGCATCTCAGCATCGCTGGTACAGCCTCGCATGGACACTGCTGTTGTGATGGATAGCTACGGCCAGAGCCATGCTTGCAGCCCTAGAAGAGGGCAAGAGCAGCTGGTGAGACACCAGTGGCTCCATCATACATGGCAGCCAGGTAAGAACAAGTTACACACCGTCCCTGTCAGCTGCGTCACAGCTGCCCACATCTTTCTAGGTCAGAGCTCCCCAGCCTGCACCCCAGCGATGGCATCTTTAGCCCCGTGTCCTTCAAGCCGTGTTTCCACCAAGACGACATCAAGATGACTGTGTGGAAGCGCCTGCACCGCCGCGTCCTGCCAGGTATTGACCTGCTCTGCTGGCAGCACGCCAGGTGCCCTGGCTCACTGGCGTGTGGGACAGGCTGCCCAGCCAGCATCACACTGCCCCAGTCTCTGTCTTGCTCTCTGCTTGTGCACTCCTCAGGAGAGCTCCTGGAGCAGTGGCTGGCTGTGTCTTGTGCTGGTAGCAGCCTGCTCTTGCATAACAGTCCAGCTGCTTGAAGTTCAGCAGTGCCAGCCCTCAGGGCTGAGTTGGGGTCTGCCAGACCGCTGCCTGCTAGCGTGCCTGGAGCATGCATGCTTTCCTTCTAGCTCCAGAGATGCTGAAATTGGACCCGGTGACAGCGCATCCCCTCCTGGAGCTCTTCAAGGGCGACACGGTGGTGCAGTGTGGGCTCTACCAGCGCCGGGACAGCAACCCCAAGCGTTTCAACTCCAGCAACTGCATCCTCACCTGCAAGGGCTTCTCCTGCGGCCAGCACTACTGGGAGGTGATTGTGGGCACCAGGAACCACTGGCGTGTGGGCATCATCAAGGGCACAGTCAGCCGCAAAGGAAAGCTCAGCAAGTCTCCTGAGAACGGCGTGTGGCTCATTGGCCTGAAGGAAGGGAAGGTCTACGAGGCCTTCAGCACCCCGCGGGCCACCCTGCCGCTGACCACCCGGCCCCAGCGCATTGGCATCTACCTGCACTATGAGAAGGGCGAGCTGACCTTCTACAATGCTGACAACCCTGATGAGCTCAGCCCCATCTACACCTTCCAGGCAGAGTTCCAGGGCCAGCTCTACCCCATTGTGGACCTGTGCTGGCCGGAGCGAGGGCCCTACTCCCCTCCCATCATCCTGCCTGCACCTGCTGCGAGGCAGCACTCCCGGGCACCGTACAACCATCCTGCCCCAGAGGAACCCATGAAGCCATAGCCTGGCCAGCAGGATGAGGCTGTGGCCAGGGAGGGCTGTGGCCAATCCCAATGGCCCGCAGCAGAGGGGAGTCATGCTGCTTGCAGGGTTGTCCTGAGGCGGAAGCTCTGGTACTGCAGAGTAAGCTTCAGCAGCAGAGCAGGGTCCTTCCCCTCTCCTCTTAAGAGCATAAAATGTCAGCTTTGATCTCTGAATCCCCATCCCTAGTCTGGCAGGCTGACCCAAAAGCCTAAAACACATCTGGCCTGTGAAGATCTCTCTATGGAAAGCAGCACCTGCCTGAAAAGCGTGAGCCGTGAGCGTCCGGGGTCTTTGTTGGCATGTCCTTCTTCTGAATAAATAGAGTTTGTGTTAGGTGAGCTGGTTGCTGGCCAACACTGGTACTGTGTCTGACGAACCAGCCGCAGCTGGAGCTGACTGGGCAGCCGCAGTGCTCTGTGGAGGCATGAGGGGCTGCTGGGAGGGGAAAACAGGAGCTGAAGAAGCAGCTGCAGAGAGCCCTTTGCCAGGCAGCAGAGGTCAGTCCCCGGCGGGAGGACGGCAGCCTGCCCGGGGCAGTGCCTCTTCCAGCTCCTCCGGGATGTGAGCTGGCATGGGGAACCACACGCAGAGCCTGCCCGGGTGCAACACTGTGCCTGGGGCCGTGGGCTGAGACAGCGTGAGGAGAGCAAGGCTGGATATCCGGACACAGCCGGGAGCTTGGCCTGACCAGCTCGGCCGCCCTGCACACAGCCTGGCAGCAGCTCTCCAGCCGCTCCTTGGCAAGTTGTTCTGGCTAACCGCAAAGAGTCACCCAGGACCCGTTCCTCAGGCTTGTCACCAAAATTCACAGCCAGCCCATGCCGACTGAGAGAGGCCAGGACACAGAATATACCGTTACTGGGGCAAATATTTATCCCCATGCATGAGGTGTCCCCAGCAAATTGGGGCACCCAAACGTGCCTTTACACGGGGTTCTCGTACCCCTCAATCCTTCAGGTCTGAGACGACTTGACTACCACCAGCACCCACGCCACCGATTACTAATCGTAGCTCAACTGTGCAACTCAACTCCAGTTTTGCAGCATTCTCGCTGCGGGTCAGTGGATCCGGGTGTCCCTGGAGTCAGTCTTGCCCGTGTTACTGGTCTATGATGCCAGGCGAGGCTGGGAGGGTTTCAAAGACCTGTCGGGGGGGCTGGGACATGGCGTTACCGGGGTCGCCCCCGCTATCCTTTATCGTTCCCAGAAGCACCGTCCTTCTCCCCAGGGCCGGGCCGTCCCTTCGTGTGTCTTACTCCAGCACCCCGTCCCGCCGCACGGCCTCACCGGGGCCCACACGCGCGAACGACGTCAGCGCGCCAGAGAGACCCCCCGGTGGGACGGCACGCCTCTCCACAGCAGGCCACCCGCGCTGCCCTCACGGCTGCTGCCCG